ATTCGGATGTAGAGGAAGGGGGTGAAAATGCCCAGTATTGAATTGGTGAAACCTCATTTGCCATGTAGTTGTCCACCCCTTTTTTTATTGAATTCTTCTCGTAAGGTTTCTATATCCTGCTGTGACGATATTGTAGCTTTGTATTAACAGCAAACTCTGAGATTGAATTATTTATACCATTTTCTATATCATTTATGAATAAATTAAACACATTTGGTCCCAGGGCAGAGCCTTGGGTTTACCCCACTTACCACACCAGACCATTCTAAGTACACACTGTTTATCACAACCCTTTGGACACACCCCTATAACCTGGTTTCTATCCAGGTACATAACCTATAGTCTAGGCCAAGGGTCTCCAAATTATGGCGCTCCAGGTGTTGAGGAACTACAAGTCCCATGAGGCCTTGCAAAACTCTGATAGCCACAGACAAGACTCCCAGAGGCATGATGGTAATTGTAGTACTTCAACAGCTGGAGGGCCATAGTTTGGAGACCCCTGGTCTAGGCCATATCATTTATGGGGAACTGTATCGAATGCTTTTGGCCTGTAGTGTCCAGTTATGTATCTCTGCCCTTTCTTGAATTTTGGTACCACATTGGTGTTTTGCCAATCAGCTGGTACCAATCCAGTTCTTAAGCTGTCCATTAAAATTAGGAATAAAGGTCTGGCTATTACCTGGCTAAGTTCTTTCTTTGGTGTAAGCCATCTGGTCCTGATGATTTATTTGTATTCAAATTTTTAATGTTTTTTAGACACTGGCTTTTATTATCCACAAGTGTACATTCTGTGATGCGTTCCTAATAATACCATCTTGTTTATTATACCTCTCCTTTTCCTGTCTAAAAACTGAGAAGAATGCAATCTCCTTATCATTTATAACCAACTTTCCCTGATTATCTATATGCTCTGACCTCATTTTCTTACTTGTAATATATTTAGACATTTTTGGATTTTTTTTTTTAGTCTGCTCTATGTGCCTCTCGAAGTTCATTTTAGCTGCCCTGATTGCGCTCTTACATTTGTTACTGCAGTCCTTGTAGTGTTGGAATGCCAAAAATGACCCCTAGGCCTTATATTTTGTAAAGACAATTTTTTTCTCTTTTAGAAACCTTTAGAATTTGGTCCAATTTAATATCTGGTAGTATGGAGCACATCTTTGTGAAATTTAGTGTTCTTGCACTACCTGTGTGCTTCCTTTTACTATGATTTACGTAGAATGTAATTACCCTGTTATCATTGTTTCCTAAGTTGTCTCGTAATTCCACATCTGCGATCAGATATGTGTTATGTGTAATTAGTAATTCCAGCACACCATTATTTATAGTCTGGGCATCCACTAATTGATAAAGTTGTCCTGCAAGACATTTAAGAAATGTCAAGCCTCAAATGAGTGAGCAGTTCCTTCTGCCCAACTAATATCTGAATAATTGAAGTCCCCCATTATAATAACATTGCCCTGCTTTTTCTCTTTGAAGCTCCAGACACAAGGATTCCACCTCCTCCCTTGCCCCACTTGCTATGTCATCCCTCACATTCACTATTAACTCATTCTTGATATACAGACACACCCCTTGTGATAGACCCAACTGGGACAGGGGTTTTTGGAGGGGACCAGGGGCTAGACTTCTACCCACTGATTATGGTCCATGGAAGAGACTGGGGATTTTGTCTGCTTCTCCCAGTCAGAGCATGGGAATGAGTTCAGATCTGCCTCTGATCCCATGAAGAGAGCAGAACATTTTCTAATGATGGACAACAACGTGATGAACTCTGAGAGCAAGGCTTGGATTAATTCTCTGAATAAAGACAATAAATCTTCCTTTCTGGAGTTCATGGAAAGGTATAATATTAATCTTGTACAGGTTAATGGTCAGAGGAAATATAGTGGCCATCCTGAAGACTGAGTTGGAGAAGCTCCTCCTCTTGGGACAGAAATATTTATCAGCAATCTCCCTCAAGAAATCTATGAAAAAAATGAATTCTACTCCTTAAGACTGCTAGAACATTGTATGGGTTTTGTCTTATGATGATTTTCTAGTGGACAAATTACACAAGTGAAAGCCAAACACCTGTAAGACAGCATGTATAAATGTACTATGTATCCAGGGATATGGACGTGTTGCTGGACTGTCTTGGTGGACTCTCTGACTAATCAGAGCTGGTCTGGGTGCCTGGTTGTTGATTAGCTTATTGCTAATTAGATCACTGCTTAATTAGGTTACTGTTAGGTGTTCATTAGATGTACTGATGATATTACTGTTTAAAGTTTGCACTGTTTTAGGATAATGTGATAAAGCTCTTATCTGTTTTTGTGTGGTATAATTCCCAATTCCCAGCTATAATACCTTGTTCCTGTGTTCCAGCAGAGAGGAAGCAGCTCTCTGGCAGAGGCACCCAGGTGGGGTGCCAGGAGGTTCATCACACCCTTCCCCCTCTTATACTTCCCTTTCTCTCTGATACAAGGAATACCCTTGTCATGTGAGCTGTCAAACCATATTTCAGTATTATGTATCAGCAGCATAACATCTTCCATTTTTATTAGTTAGACTTCTAGCATTTGTGTACATTCCTTTTAGTTTTGTATTAGCTCATATTATTTCCTCCTTATATGTTCTAAGGCTGCAATTGTGTTCTGCCTATCTACTCGCCGTTGGTTGAGGTATTCTGGTTATACTACCACTAATGCCCACAATAGCACCCTCTGACTATGCTCACTGGCACCTATCACTTCTTCTAATACACCCTCCCCCCCTTTCCACACCTAGTTTAAAAGTCTAACTTTTTGGCCATCTCTCCCAACACCGCTGCATCTTCCCCATTTAGGTGCAGTCTGTCCCTGCTATAGAGCCAGTAACCGACCAAAGAGACAGCCAAATTCTTCAAAACCCTCCTTCCTGCACCAGTTTCTCAGCCACTTGTTAAGTTCTCTAATTGACAATGTATCCATTTACAAATCAAATTTAATGTGTAACATCCTTGACATATTTCATATCACAGGATTGTTCCAAAACCAATAATTTTGTATCTGTCAAATTAGATAAATAAAAACTGATTTCATCATGGCCCCTGAAGTCATAGGTATACAGCCATTATTATTTTAATATTAGAAATTATAGTGTAGGTATGAATCTACTTTTTGGATAGATAATTGAAATACAAAGGGATCCGTGAAGACAAAAATATGGGAGTTGCCTCTGCTGATTTGTTTTTAAAGATTTAGCCTGGGTTCACACTGATGCGGGTGTGGCATATCGCATGTGATTTCGCACAGGAACCGCACTACATTCCTGTGCAAATCACATTGCGATGCGAATTTTGTATGGCTCAAATCGCACCAAATACACACCAAAAAGGTGTAGGACCCTTTTTTTGGTCCGCACTAGAATAGGATCGCATTTGGTATTCACACATTCTGCATATCGCACCGTGTTTTGTGAACCGATGTCAGGGTGTTGTTAAAACACACACCCGCAGCGGTTCACATGTATGGGGTGCGATTGTGATGCGGTGTGGAATTCACACAGAAACCGCTGCAAATTCCTCACCGCATCAGTGTGAACCCAGGCTCAAGCTCCAGGCTGTCATCTTTATTGTTTACTGACACTGTGTAATAATATGGACATACTTCTTCTGGGTCTGTGACCCACCAAATGGTGAAACAAGGATGGTAGTGCTGAAGCATGCACCTTGAAAAGCCAACAATGACAGCTCCATTATTTTTAATTTAAGGAAATAATAATAAATGTTTATAATTTTAGATGCATTTCAGTAATGTCAATAGCCTGTCACCATTATGAGTGGAAATAAGTATATTACTCTTTTATGCACTAAGCTACAAATATACTTTAGAACACATAAGAGGGGTTGCATGCAGAAATACAGTTTCTCAAATTCACTTTTTATGGATATGGATGAATGTTTTAGATACAAGCAGGGGCGGACTGACCATTTGGAAACTCAGGCACTGCCCGAGGGCCCGAGGTCAATAGGGGGCCCCATGAGATGCCCTGGTACCTTTTTCATAGGCTTTTTTTAGTTTGGGCAAGGACACAGGAGCCCCATGATCTCCTATTGCCCGGGGCCCCATGAGTTGTCAGTCTGCCCCTGGATACAAGGTACTTAGGTACAAAGATACAAGCTTTTGGAAAAACACCCACTGGTCACCTTTTTAAGATGGAAGCCTTCCAAATGCCACATATTTCAAAAGTTCAATTAATCACCATGCATATGACCAACAATCTACAGTGACCATAAAAAAAAACGTAGTTCCTTTTTTGCAATTCTGAAAATAATACCCATATCTTGCCAACCTGTTCCTGAAGCTATTCATCATATAATTTAGTCACGGGTTTAACATGATAACAACCATTTAAAAGAATGTATAGTGGTTTTGCATAAATGACTTTTCTTGCTTTATTATGGTCAGGGCTAAAAAGTTAATGTTAAGAAATATTTTTTGAATGTAAAAATAAACCTTTGCATATAACTATTTTATTTTCTCCTTTAACCACTTTGCCCTCCTGAGGATTTACCCCCCCCCCCCCCCCCCCCTTTTCCGGACCAGGCCACTTTTTGCGTTACGGCGCTGCGTTACTTTGACTGACAATTGCACGGTCATGCAATGCTGTACCCAAATTAAATTTCGTCCTTTTTTTTTCCGCAAATAGAGCTTTCTTTCAGTGGTATTTGACCGCCTGTGCGGTTTTTATTCTTTGCGCTATAAAGAAGACAAACATTTTTGAGAACAACGATATTTTTGATTTTTGCTATAAAACATGCCCAGTAAAAAAATTTAAAAATCTAATTTTGTCATAAATTTAGGCCAAAATGTATTCTGCTACATGTCTTTGCTAAAAAAAATAATCCCAATATGTCTAAATTAAACGGTTTACGTGAGAGTTTTAGCGTTTACATTTGGCGGTATAGATACTGGATTTTGTTTCCTACTAGTAATGGTAACACCGACTTATAGCGGGACTGCGGTGAGCATTTTGACACTGGGGGGAACTGACTTGGTGTCACTGACATCCCCAGTGACACCAATACAGTGGTCCGTGCTAAAAAACAGCACTGGCACTGTACTAATGGCACTGGGTAGGAAGGGGTTAACATGAGGGGCGATCAAAGGGTTAACTACGTTCTGGAAGTGTGTTACTAGGGGGGCTGTGTCAGTGTGCTTCACAATAAGCACACTGCGTTGGATGGCTGTGCTGTGCACAGGCATCCAAAGCACTGTACCCGAGCTGACAGGGAGGAGAACTGTTAGTAAACAGTTCTCCGCCCCGTCGAAGAGCGTCGGAAATCACCAGCCGTCGGCGAGTAATCATCGACTGGGACCCGGTGATTGACAGCCACTGCTGGGAATGGAGGCGCGGGTAGGCAAAATCATGTGTATATATATATATATATATATATATATATATATGTGTGTGTGTGTGATTTTGAGCACCCATGCTGCGCTGTAGCAGTATATCTGCTATAGGGCAGATGGGAAGCGGTTAAACAAGTGGAAGTTTAGGCTCCTTTTGACATCTTTTTCTGTTTTTTTTAACCTCTTTGTTAACAAATGTTTATAGAATTTAAATCAGAACTTCACTGTATCTGAGCAAAACAAAAGTGCTATTTAATTTATTTTTAATATTCAAAGCAAACTCCCCCATCCATCCATGTCTCCATGCTATATTTTGCTGAGAAATCACTTAGAAAAAACACCCCCTAGCTTTTCTGGCCATGACTATCTTGAGAAAGGACAGATGATTCATATGGCAATTACTTCCTGATATCCAAACATCTCATTTGGCTCCTCTGGTGATCTATACTCCCCAGTCCACTTCCTGGTTTAGTAAAAAACATGCATCCTTAGCACTCTGAACATACACCAAATAATGGAGTCCAAGGAGGAAGCAGGAAATGACCTCAAAGAAAATGCTAGTATACAACTTATGAATTTCTTATGTTAAAAAAAAGATTAAAAAAACACAAAGAAATGCAATGCAAGCCCGCCACTTGCCCTCCAGAGGATTTACCCCCCTTCCTGACAAAGCCATTTTTTGAGATACGGCGCTGAGTTACTTTAGAGGATTAATTGGCTTACATGAAAGTTATAGCGTTTACAAATGACGGTATATAAACTGGAATTTTAATTTTTTTTCCTTTACTAGTTACTTTATGGCGGCGATCAGTGACTTATTGGTGGGGCTGTGGAACTGTGGCGGGAATTCTGACACTGGGTGGGAACTGACTAACTATCACTGACATCCCCGGTGACACTACTCCAGTCACCCTCTTCCTCCATCCTATGCTCCCTCACTCACATATTCAATCTCTCCCTCTCTAATGGTGCCTTCCCCCTCCCCTCTAAAGCATGCGCACATCACTCCCATACTTAAAAAGCCCTCCGTGGACCCCACCAACCTGAACAACTTAAGACCCATCTCCCTGCTGCCATTTACCTCTAAACTCCTAGACCGCTTAGTCTACAATTGCCTGAGCTCCCACCTCAACACAACAACCTTCTTGACCCTCTACAGTCTGGCTTTCGCTCTCTACACTCCACTGAAACTGCCCTAATAAAACTCACTAATGATCTACTAACTGCTAAAACCAATAGCCACTACTCCGTACTCTTACTACTTGACCTCTCTGCGGCTTTTGATACTGTAACCATCCCCTCCTCCTCAAAAAACTCCACTCTCTTGGCCTCAGAGACTCTGCTCTCTCCTGGTTCTCCTCCTACCTATCACAGCTCTCCTTCAGCGTTACCTATAACGTTGCCTCCTCCTCTTCACTCCCTCTTTCTGTAGGGGTCCCTCAAGGTTCTGTCCTTGGACCCCTTCTCTTCTCCATCTACACCTCCTCCCTTGGTCACTTGATAAACTCCCATGGCTTTAAGTACCATCTCTATGCTGATGACACACAAATCTATCTTTCTACTCCTCACCTCACCCCTTCAGTCTCCTCTCGCATTACTAACCTACTAAGCGACATATCGGCATGGATGTCACTCCACTTCCTCAAACTAAATCTTTCCAAAACTGAGCTCATACTATTCCCTCCAGCCCGTGTCCCCTCCCCTGACTTCTCCATCAAGATCAATAACACAACCATCAGTCCCTCCCATCAGGCCAGGGTGCTAGGTGTAATCCTAGACTTCCATCTGTCCTTTCAGCCCCAAATCCAATCACTGTCCAAATCTTCACCTCCGCAACATCTAAAAGATACACCTGTTTTTAACCTCTGAAACCACTAAGCAACTTATTCACTCCCTTGTTATCTCTCTCCTTGACTATTGTAACTCCCTCCTCATTGGCCTACCTCATCGCAGGCTATCCCCTCTTCAGTCTATCATGAATGCTGCTGCCAGACTCATCCAACTTACTAACCATTCCGTATCTGCCAATCCCTTCACTGGCTTCCCATTGCCCAATTCAAAACATTAACAATAACATATAAAACCATTTATAACTCTGCCCCCAATTACAACACCAATCTTGTCTCCAAATATCACCCAAAACTGTTCTCTCCGCTCCTCGCATGACCTCCTGCTGTCTAGCTCCCTTGTCTCCTTCTATGCTTGTCTCCAGGACTTCTCCAGAGCCTCCCCCATCCTCTGGAACTCTCTATCCCAATCTATCAGACTATCGCCTACTCTGCCCACTTTTAGGCGATCTCTGAAAACCTCTCTTTTCAGGGCAGCCTAGCCTGCCTTCAGCTAAAAACGGAATCTTCTATTCCTCCTACCAGTCCATCCCCCACAATGAGTAGCGAGGCCTTTTAAAGTGAACTGATTCCTCAAAACAGAGTAACATTCTGGTGGCTGTTCACAGTTTTCCCTCCTGTACTATCTGATAATAAAGCCAGAGGTTTGTGTCACAATAGTGTAAAGTGTAGTATTCTACAGCAACAATATTCCTGAAATAACAAAGTGGCAAAATTCTTTAAAAGCTATCTGTTTGTGCATACTTCTCGGCATTTAGTTAACTACTTGCCCTCCAGACGATTTACCCCCTTCCTGACCAGGCCATTTTTTGTGTTATGGCGCTGCGTTAATTGACAATTGCGCAGTCATGCAATACTGCACGCAAACAAAATTTACACCCATTTTTCACGCAAATAGAGCTTTCTTTTGTTTTTTATTTTTGTGCTATAAACAAAAACGGAAAAAAAAAAAAAAAAATGCAAATTTTGGGAAAAAAAACAATATGTTTGACTTTTTTTATTAAACGTGACTAATAAAAAAAATTTTTTTAAATCAAATTTCATCATAAATTTAGGGTAAAATGTATTCTGCTACATGACTTTGCTAAAAAAAATCCCAATACATGTAAATTTTAGGTTTATGGGAAAGTTATAGTGTTTACAATTGGTGGTATATATACTGGAATTTGTTTTTTTTTTTTTATTTTACTAGTAATGGCGGTGATTAGCGACTTATTGCAAGGCTGCAGAACTGTGGCGAGCATTCTGACACTGGGGGGAACTGACTTGGTGTCACTGACATCCCCAGTGACATCAATACAGTGATTGGTGCTAATAAAAAGCACTGACACTGTACTAATTGCACTGGGCAGGAAGGGGTTAACATCTGGGGCGATCAAAGGGTTAACTTTGTGCTGTGTGTGTTTTTACTATGAGTCTGTGTGCTTTTCACTGTAAGCACACTGCTTTGTATGACTCTGCTATGCAGAGCCATAAAAAGCAGAGTGCAGGAGCCGACAGGGGAGAGAAACTGTATTGTTTACATACAGTTCTCTCCCCCCCCTCAGTAATACTCGGTGATCAGTGATTGACAGCTGAGGCCGCGAATGGCGCGGGTAGGGCGTGCGTGCGCCCCCCTACCCGGAAATGCAAAATCACATACAGTTGTGTTCAAAATAATAGCAGTCAGACATCATTAACCTGATCAATCACTGTTTTTGGTAGAAATTATATTTCTACATGGCAAATAATTTACTAGCAGGTGTAGTAGAGTAATAGAAATCAGACAGACCCAACAGTCATGACATGCATGCTGCTGATTCTGTGTAATTGAATCACTAATTGAAAGGGGCATGTTCAAAATAATAGCAGTGTGGAGTTCTATTAGTGAGGTCATTCATTCTTTGAAAAACAGGTGGCAATTATTGCCCTTATTTAAGGAAGGAAGGCAGCAAATGTTGTACATGCTGGTTACAGTGCATTTCTCTCTGAAATTCCGAGGAAAATGGGTCATTCCAGAGATTGTTCAGAAGAACAGCGTACCTTGATTAAAAAGTTGATTGGAGAGGGGAAAAAAATATATAAAGAAGTGCAGAAAATGATAGGCTGCTCAGCTAAAATGATCACAAATGCTTTAAAATGGCAACTAAAACCTGAAAGACATGGGAGAAAAACTACCATTGGAATGGATAGAAGAATAGCCAAAATGGCAAGGACTCAGCCAACAATCAGCTCCAGGAAGATGAAAGAAGGTCTAAAGTTACCTGTGAGTACTGTTACAATTAGAAGACGCCTATGTGAAGCCAAAGCTATCTGCAAGAAGCCCCCGCAAAGTCCCACTGTTGAAAAAAAAGACGTGCTGAAGAGGTTACAATTTGCCAAAGAGCACATTGACTGGCCTAAAGAGAAATGGCGCAACATTTTGCGGACTGATGAAAGTAAGATTGTTCTTTTTGGGTCTAGTGGCCGGAGGACAGTTTGTCAGACGACCCCCAAACACTGAATTCAAGCCACAGTACACTGTGAAGACAGTGAAGCATGGTTGCGCAAGCATCATGATATGAGGATGTTTCTCATACTACGGTGTTGGGCCTATTTATCGCATTTCAGGGATCATGGATCAGTTTGAATACATCAGAATACTGGAAAGATGTCATGCTGCCTTATGCTGAAGAGGAAATGCCCTTGAAATGGGTGTTCCAACAAGACAACGACCCCAAAACACACCAGTAAACGTGCAACATCTTGGTCCCAGACCAACAAGATTGACGTTATGGAGTGGCCAGCTAAATCCTCCGGGATCTTAAAATCCCAATAGAAAACTTGTGGTGTGACATCAAAAATGCAGTTTCTGAGGCAAAATCAAGAAATAGAGAAGAACTGTGGAATGCAGTCCAATCATCCTGGGCTGGAATACCTGTTCACAGGTGCCAGAGTTTGGTTGACTCCATGCAACACAGATGTACAAAGCAGTTCTCCAGAAACAGTGCTTATACAACTATAATATTAATTGAGTCAAAGGAAAGCAAAATCTTCAAACATATTTCAGTTTATATAGTGAATGTTTGAGTTTGTAAAGAAGAATACAAACACTGCTATTTTTTTG